CACAGCTCACTCTAAAATGAGAAGGTTGGACTGAATGATTTCTAAAGTTTCTTCTCATTCTAAAGATTCTTACTTTCATTCTTTGTGTCATCAAGTACCACTTCACTGTGGAGAGTTGTTTAAAAATGATTGATGGCTAAATTACAAAAACCTGTCAATTCCTCTAACGCTTGGATCACTCAGATTCCTATTTGCTAAGCTTACAATATCTTTGAAATTGTTGGCATACAACTATTATAGTTCTAACTTCTCATTTTCTTTGCAAATTCTAGCCAGTAAGGCAAGATAATTGCATAACTGATATACTCAGTATACAGAATGCAGTCATGAGGCATGAGACATTTTTTATACACTGCCTTTTAAGGCCCATAGTACAAACCTCTGTCATTTAAAAGTGGCTCCTAAAATGCAGCCCAAGAAGGCATTCAAGGGAAATCATCTCAGAAGCTTGCTGAATGTGCAGATTCCTGGGCTCTAGAATTTGCATTTTAACGTGTACTATGGCAATTCTTATACCACCGAAATTTTAGAAATACTGACTAAAGATTTCAACAGTAACTAGAAATTATTTTTGAAAACTAACTATTGAAAAAAATGGGGCACAGACCTGAATGTTAATCTGAGAGGGGTTATTTATTAGATAATTTACCAAATTTGAGGTTTTGAAAGTTGCATAAATTATTGTACCTTAAAATTTCCCAAACAAATCTCTTCCTAACTACACAGTAAGCAGCATACGAACGAGACTGTAAGTAAAGTCCATTCTTTAAAAATGTACTCAAATCTTTCAACTAAATGCATCAAAATGCAAATAAACAATCACATTTTTCTGTCCTGGGATTAGGCCAAGATGGCGTTTATGTTTCTGAAGCAATCCACAAAGCCAGGATTGAGGTTTCAGAGGAAGGCACCAAGGCATCTGCAGCTACAGGTATGCTCCTAAGAGCACAGTGTCGGCAACACTCAGTCAGCTGCTTCCCCCTTATCTCCCTTTGTTAGATTTATCCAGTTCAACCTTCACACTTCTAAGCCTCCCCACTAAAAACCCAAGTCCAGATGTAGTAGAGCATTCTAAAAGAAGAAATGTTAACAGAACAAAGTTTTTGAAAACTGATGGGAGAAAAGAGATAGCCATTTTGAAAACGGTTTGTAGCACGACCCCATAAACAAGGAATAGAGTCATTTTGAAAATTACCTTCAGGAAGGAATTTATTCCATGGAATATTTTGAAAATAGGACACAGTGTTGGCTAAGTGGTATCTTTTCCCTTTAATTTTCCCATTTGCACCCCATCATAACACTAAACAATGCTATATCATTAGGATGCTTTTATTTCTCCAAAAATCAAGGCATATAAGTGACCTCGTATCCAATTTTAATAGTGACTTTCCTCAAATGAAAATACAATGGGATTCTATTCTTTATCTTTCCTGCAGCCCTGTTGTTACTGAAAAGGTCTCGGATTCCTATTTTTAAAGCAGATCGGCCATTCATCTTTTTCCTGAGAGAACCCAACACAGGTATTACAGTATTTTTTGATAGGAGTCACATAAATTAAATATTTATCAGCATCTCTCTAGCAACAAAGCCTCGTTTGTCCACCCTAACCTAAAACAAGCATTCCTTCTAGCTGGTTTCCATGGTGCTTCAGAAGCTTCTCAGTTGCTATGTCATGTATCCTGAGAAAGGGGAATATTTCATAACTACTGAGCAAACTAATATCCTCTGTGGCTTTTTTGCCTTCTGTTTCTCTCAGCTCATTTATAGTTGATGTAGGTCTTTAAAAATTCAGGTTTCTACTTCTGGGGAGACTTAAAAAGTCACGAAAGTAAAATAAATGATAAATCTTTTTTCCCCATTGTTGCCGAGCTTTCTTGGCCTTGTAGGATGAAAGAATTCCTTCAGGCCACTAGAGTGTCCAAGCAGTCCTCTGGCTCTCAGCACCCCTAGTATCCTAGGGAACGCACCTGCATTTCTATAGTTTTCCTGTTGATCTTTCTCAAGCTTTGCTGAAGTTACACAAAAATCAAATGTTTGCCTTAGTACTTGTTAGGTCCCACCATACAACCTCATCTTAATCCAAAGAGGGGATGGTACAGGCAGAGCCTTAGCACATCAGAAGGACAAGCAGAAGTCCTTTAAGCATCAACAACAGTGAACCAAGTATTCAAATTATTCCTCTTAATGTTGCCCCACCCTCTCTGGCAATTACTTATCAGCCTAGGAAAGAAAAAGAGATTCTCAGTAAAGAGTTGTTGGCAAGTCTAAACAATGTGTTAAAAAGAAATAGGATGGAACAAGTCTAACAAAATCAAGCAAAAGTGGATCTACTTTAACTAAACATCAGGCATTATTTTTATTTATGGAGAGAAAAAAAGTCAAGTTAGAATAATGAAAATTACGCATAGGTTTTACACAAATTGTTAAGGAAATACTGTCAACATCATTTTATCTGAGAATCATTTGCATACTGCTGTAACTTGTGCTAGAAATCAAAGAGACACTTGCGACAAAAAGGATGAAGATAATCATTCACTAGGAAATCATCTATTGGGGGATTATTTGGGGAGAAAAAGTCCATCAACAAAATATATCCTCTTAGTATTTCACCATGATCATCCCAACCCCATATTTATTAGATGAAAATGTCACTTATCACTCAGAACAGGCAACAGAGAGCCCTCTCTTAGAAAGGATACAGGTCAAAAAATGAAAGATGAAAAAAAAAAGACAGGTTCTGCTCCCTCAAGAAACAAAGAAACAGGACTAAACTTGAACAGAAAGGTCACTGTCAAAAGCTCATAGCCAATAAAGGTTGATGACAGTTAAGAGAAAACAGTTTCTCTTTTGGAATTCAACTGCATAAAATGATGTAAAATCTTTGAACTACCTAGTAAAGGACACACCAGTTTCCGTGCTAAGAGTTTCCAGAACGGCCATAGTAAACAGAATGAAAATACAATCCAACACCAGTTCCATAATCCGCCGCACGTCTAAATATAGTCCTTGTGAATTTATTTACCTCTCTTTCTGGGAGGTACTTGCTCATAACACACAAGGCAAAGTGGCTATTCTTCTGGTGACGGGGTATTGAAAGGACAAATGAGTCTCAGCCTTCAGTACACCAAATTGACAAAGCTTACTGATAAGGGTAAATAATGACTCAATCAGTTGACAAATGGGACACATACAAGAACATTACAAAAAATGATCTTAACCTGAAAATTAAACTGTTGGAGAACATCATTTGTCCAGCCTACAGTCATCCATCCATTGATCTAAAGGGCCTAAAAGACATGATATTCCCCTCAAATGTACTCCCCCTCCCCTTTGCTTACAAAAATTCTGCAGTATTTCACTAATTCAACTAATATGCCCAGTTTCTTAAAATGTAAAAAAAACCTGCAAGAGATGAGATATTAAGCTTGAATTTTGATGGGTTTCAAAGCTTGTGACTAGGCTTTGGGAGGAGGGCATAGAGTATGGAGGCAGAGAGATTAAGGACAAAAAGAGGAGACAGAACAAACTGCTTCTTTCCAACTCCCTCTAAGGTTCATACCCCAAAATGTATTAAAGGTCAAGCAAGAGTCTAAAGGATCATCACCTCATGAGCAACCTGTGAAATGCAACTAAGAACTTTCTGATAAGGAAAGTGGCCAAATATTGGACTAGATTGAGTCCCTTTCCTAAATATTCTTGTTAAGTATTAACTTTTATCTGAATGACTTGTAGTCCCCCTCCTGTTAATCTCAGAATCTAAACATATATAATTTAAAACCAGACAGTATATTCTGGATTTTGTGTATCTCTTGTTGAATTTAGCAATGTGACTGCAGCTAATTACCTTAACAATTCCATTTACTAAATGATATCCTGCTTAAAGGTATTCTGTAGAGGTGAAAAGATGTTTAAAGAATTGCATATGAAAATACTATTTAACACTACATTAAATGCTTTTTTTTCTTGACAGCATTTGTCTTCAGTATTGGGAGAGTTTCAAATCCCCTAAACTGAATTAACAGATCTCAAGCATGTTCTCCACTTTCATCTATGCTTTTCTTCATAAAAAGTTACAATTTCATTTTGCTATACCCTTGATTTTAAAAATGTTCTGCTAAAGTATAAAAAGATAAGGGCATGTGATTTTCAAATATTATGAACCTAAAAATACTTCAATTTTACCATAATTTTATAAATTTATTTCACCCTCTCTTAATCTAAATGTATTTCAGCCTTCTTTTCTACTGGTTATCCCAAAAGCACTACAAGGCACAGCAGTGATCTACGAATGGTAAGTGAGTCAGGTCACAGGGTCACGTCCTCAGTAAGGACACGTGAGGCCATGTTGGACTGAGGGCGGACAGTGAATAGTGTTCAGTTTTCCTTATCCTGGATAACTTAGGGAGAATGCAAAATGAGCAAAGTCATTTTAAACATGTTTCCTTTCCATTTAGCTTCTAAATAAAATGGAGAGTTGAAGTGTAATAGCAGAGCAGAACAAAGAGATCCCTGTTGAAACCCCAGTCTGTTGTGAGACTTCTGTTAAGTATGGCATCAAGCTGCTAAATGCTAGACATCTCAGAGTATGTGGTATACCCCAAACTTACAACTCCCTAGCTGATGGCTTCACCTTAGTGCCATCCACAATCCTAGTGAGAAAGGAAAAGGGGTTGAAGGAAAGTAAGTAAGGAAACCAATAAAGTCCAAAGGTGTCTGCTTTTTAAACAGCTTTAAAGAGTCTGCCTATCCGCCACAGATACCATCATTTCCATTATCTAGGCAGAAACGGAGCATGTTGGAGTGGCCAACAAAATCTAAGAACATAGAGTAAAAAGACAATGCAGATTATGTAACACGTAATTACAGTTAGGTTTAACAAATGTGAACTTCAAGTGGTGTATTTTTCCAATGCTAAAAAGCAAGGCCTTTAAAATTCCATTATCTTAAGATGGTTTTAAATGATTACTTTAAATGTGATTATTTCCTAAACCACACAAGAGTAAAATAGAGCATTTATTGATGGAATAACAAAAGTGCTTTTCTTAAATATTCTTCAAAATACATTTGTACAACTTACAATAATATATCCAAAATAACTGTATATACAAAACATTGCCTAGTTTTAATGTATGTGCTTTTTTCCCCAAAAATTACAAAGTAACTTCTTTTTTATTTTTTTGGCAAAGTTCAACCTTAACAGAGGTGACAATTTTAAAGGTTGGTTTAAGAAAATAGAACCTGAGGGAAACTGACACGCAAGAGTCAATGACAAGCAAGAGATTTGGAGGAATATTTTTAGTTTGTTAAATAAAAATGTTTTTTAGAGTGATACTTTTCACATTACAAAAATAAACCAAAATGAAGAAAAGGTCACTGTAAAATGATGGAAAAAGGATCTGTAGACTTGCTCTTAGTATTTCAAAAAGCCAACAATGCATGTCAAAAAATGAATGCAAGATCACAACAGTCTTGTATTTACTTTGTATTTGGAGAAGGTAGTGAAATAAGTGGCCACATTCTGTTTTCTTTTAATTGCTATTAATATGGTTGATCTGATTGGCTCTTCGATGAATTTCATCCAAGAAGTTCTCCAGTTGTTCTATTAGCATTCTTTTTTTAAACCTGTATAAAAAAATAAGTAATAGCACTCTCAATTTCTTTTTAACAAATAGTTATATATCAGTATAATTTTTTTTAAAAGAGAGAAACTGCCTTGGAAAGACTTTTCAAAGTGAGATGAAAATAAAAAATCAACAACTTTATGATATATAAAATCTCTTGGAAGATTAGCAAATTATTTTATCAGTAGAGTATTATAGTTTGTTCCTAAAACAAATAATCCAGGCCTAAGTACAATGGGAAAGAGGTTATTTCTTCCACAATCAAAAAGAAAAAGGGGGGGGAGAAAAAACCCTAATAAGTACAAGGGTTATAAATATTCCAGCAATATAGGCTCCCAAAGCAATGACTCCAACAGCTTCTTATGCTCTTTGAACACTGAATGTTGAATGGAATGTGAATAAAATATGAATATAATTCCCCACAAAATGGAAGAAGAAATGAAATTTGGGCAATTGCATTTAAACCGTGGTGTTCTACTATTACAATTTGAAAACTAGCAAATCAAGGACAATTAGACATCTGTAGTATAGGATACAGCAAACAAAGTTCAAGTTGCAAGTTTTAAATTTTTGCGGTAATAAATATAGTAGACTAAAATTGCTTTTGTCTGCCTAAGTATTAATACTGCTGATGCTTTTCAGAATATCCAAAAACACTGCCCAATCTATACCTACTTCCTCTCTACTTGTACACTAATATGACTACCGACCATAATACTACACAACTCTCTAAAAGGTGGCAGAAGTAGAATGCAGGCACATGGAATATAGCTAAATCGATGATGAAGTTTGAGTTGACAGAATGTTACATAAAGAGCAGAATGGGTTAAATACTCAATATCAATAATATGAAAAGTTATGGCCTTATCTTGAAACTTCAAAGTAACCTATGCTCTTGCCACTCATAGAAAAAAAAAAAATAGAATTAACAGCTTTATCTAAAAAAACCTTTACATGTAGGATGGAAGAAACTGGGGGACTAATTAAAGGGTGGGTATCTTGGAAGGTCAGATGAGACAAACGCTAAGTTTTCTTACATTACTAAAATTCTAAAAGTCTTGAAGAAGAAATAAAAAAATGCTTTTTTACTCACTAAACTCATACAACTATGCTTTCCAGTTAATTGCACTTCATAGTTACCATTTATAATCTTGATCCACATTCCTTGTACTAAAGTACATAATCCTGGGCTACTGAGGCAATCAGAATAAGGCCCATTTGTCCAGCTCTGGTCCCCTTAATTACATGTTTTCCCACATACAAGTGAACTGCATTCAAATATTGCCTTTCAAGATTACCTTTTATCACTAATATTAACTGTAGTTCAAATATACAAAGGAGAAAAATTGAAGACTATAACATATAAAGACATCAAAAAGCCACAGAGTAGGATAAACAAGAATTATGCAAGAATCTGTAATGTGTAGAGAGAAAGGGTCCATGATTTCTGAAGAATTTCTGTGTAGCTATTTTTTAAGTGAACTTCTTTCAATAAACTGAAAAAAAGAGAGAAGTACTTATATACAAAGGGATGTGTCATATACATGCATAACAACACAAGTATAAAACAGATACTGTTAAAATACCAACTATAGAAAACTGGGGACTCACTGCATCATATCATAATGTACAACAGATTATTTACCTTGATGCTTCTTTAATGACATTTTGTAAAAATATTAGTCTTGTTTGTAAACTGCCTTGCACATGCTTCAGTAAAGTGAAGATCCTTTCATATTCTTGAAACAAGAGAAGCAAAAAGAAAAGTTAAGTGGCTTCAATTTGCATTCTTATTCAATATTTTTCTATTACAGTTTACTACATCAAGATATACTAAAACAAAAACAAAACTAGTCTACATAAAATTTTCACTGCTCATTAGAGATTTTATAATACACATATTTCATCATACATCAAAAAAGATAAAATAGCTTTTCAAACACTGCTTTTTTTTTTTGGTAAAAGTTCTCAATAGGGTATCAAATATAAAGCTTAGAAGGATGAGTAAACAGCTTTTTGGTAGTGCCACAGAAAAATAAGAAGTGGCCTTTACAAAAATCCATCCTTATGACAAATTCTAAATTACAGCTAACCTGGGAAGTGGCTAAAATAGAGGGGGGGAGAAAAAAGAAGTTAAGAGTGCTGTCTCACAGGAACAAAGATGCAGATGTAGAGAATGGACTTGAGGACACTAGAAGTGGGAAGGGTAAGCTGGGACGAAGTGAGAGAGTAGCATTCACATACATACACTGCCAGATGTAAAATAGATAGCTAGTGGGAAGCAGCTGCATAGCACAGGGAGATCAGCTCGGTGCTTTGTGTCCACCTAGAGGGGTGGGATAGGGAGGGTGGGAAGTAGACACAAGAGGGAGGGGATATGGGGATATATGTATACGTATAGCTGATTCACTTTGTTATAAAGCAGAAACTAACATACCACTGTAAAGCAATTATACTCCAATAAAGATGTTTAAAAAAAAAAAAAGAATATACACGTCGTAATTGGTGGGAAAAAAAAAGGATGCTGCCTCAGTTTCAAGTTTTCACACAAAACTCTGCCAAGGACTATAAGCTCCTAAATGGCCAGTACTGAGTCTTACCCACTTCTGGACCACCCATGGGCCACCGCACCATCATAGCAGGTGATCTGGCAACATCTTTGGAATGAATGTCAATAATATTGAAACTTTATCTCACAAAGTTCTTCTGTACTCATATAATAGATAGCTTTCATAATTTTAGTTTTTTGGCCTAAACACATCCCTGATCACTATTATAGTTTAAATCTTAAAAGTTAAGATGGTAGGTAGGTACTATGCCTAGAACTTTACAGATACGAAGTCATTTAATAGTCACTGCATCTGTCTGGGTTTGCTGTTACCTTAAAATTCCAGTTGCTGGTTGACAGAATGCTCAAGACTATGGGTTCCTATCATGGTAGGAACCATGTGTGTCTGTGCGTTCCTGCTCTGCTCTCAGTCCCTCCTACTTACCACACCTAACACAGTACTTTGGATATAGCAGATATTCAGTAAGTGTTTGTTGGCTGAATAAAGAACCAAATCTTATATAGCTCATATGTTGTTTAAGAGTGATCTAAAATCAGATCTATGCTTTAGTTTGACTTTTTTTTTGAGCACAAACAGAAATCAAATCTGATGTTTGTCTCTAATTATACATACTTCTTCCTGGCTTTCGGATCTCTTTCATTATTTGTGCTTTTAGTTCAGTGTTGACCTCTTCATGGCTTCTGCAATGCATCAATTTCTTCCCTTTGTTGAGTGAGGATGCTGGTAGATTCTCTTCGGGACATTGTTCTTTATCTCTTGGCTCCTCATGATTTTCTAAAAATCCACCAACAGTGAGGTCATTAGTTCCTAAGTGGTCATGGCCGAGAGCCTCTGTATGATTGGTTGGTCGTTCCAGTAAATTGGCTGGAGAAGAAGATGCTGAAAATTCACTTTCCATAGCATTTGGTGTAATATCTGATGAAAGTTGGTCTGCAACGTGATTTTCAACCACATCATCTATTGTTGAATCATTAGTGGCTTCTGAAACTAAAAATAAAAATAAGAAAAAAAAAAGATGAGAGCCAATTTCAAAGCACACAGTAAAGAAAACCTCAAAGAAACAATATTACAGCAAATCACAACTGATCTCCCTGACTGCTGCAAATTAACAATTTGATATTGTTTTTAAGCTTTGCCAAATATATGGTATATTTCAATGTGAAACATTCACAATATTTTAAAAACCTGTACAATTTTTGCCCTTAGGGAAAAAAATAAAAGCCAGTTTCAAACAACTTTTAGTTCTCTGCTTTATTCTATGGCAATTTTATTGAATAAGTAGGTTTTTAATGCTTTAGGGAAATATATGTGATCAAGATTATCATGGTTATCCTTTTATTAGAGAGTACTAGTTCACTCCAACTTACCTCTACCTTGTAAGTTATTACCGTTTAGAGGCAAAAGTGAACACAGGGAGTTTAAGCTGATCAATATTCTGCAGCAACACACCACCAAACCTACACAGCACCCCCTTTTCTTATAACCATCCATATAGTCTTCATTACTCGAGCAGTGAAGAATAGCTGGTGCCCACTTTAGTTCACTAGACTACTAGACTTAAAAGCTTGCAAGCTTACTACTTAATATTAGATTATTGTACTTGCTCCTCACAGAAAGCAGCTAAATTCTAAGTTCTCTGATTGCTCACCAAACCACCAGGACACCAGCTGAATTCATCTCTTTACTGTTCAAAATGTAAACTCATCCCCACAAAAATTCCCTGAACTTCTGACTCCCTCCCTCCTAAATTCTATTCCATGATGTGCAAACTTTACTGAATATTCTCTAGAGTAACTCCTGCTTTAATCGAAACCCAACTCTCCTGCAAAGAAACTGCTGTCTGTCAAACACTCTCCGTGGACTTAAAATAAGGATGTGGGGCTTCCCTGCTGGCGCAGTGGTTAAGAATCCGCCTGCCAATGCAGGGGACACGGGTTCAAGCCCTGGTCCGGGAAGATCCCACATGCCACACACCAACTAAGCCCGTGCACCACAACTACTGAGCCTGTGCTCTAGAGCCCGTGAGCCACAACTACTGAGCCTGTGCTCTAGAGCCCGCGAGCCACAACTACTGAGCCCCTGTGCTACAACTACTGAAGCCCACATGCCTAGAGCCCATGTTCCAAAACAAAGAGAAGCCACTGCAATGAGAAGCCCACGCACCACAACAAAGAGTAGCCCCCACTCGCCACAACTAGAGAAAGCCTGCACGCAGCAACAAAGACCCAACACAGCCAAAAATAAAATAAATAAATGTATAAAAATAAATAAATAAATAAGGATGTGGAGTCACTAATCCCTCCACCTTCCAATGCCACTTCAAGAACATTTCTCCATGCACTCTTGAAAAATTCTTGCTCTTCTGAGATTTAATTATCCCACTCAACTTATTCTCTCTCTCCTCATCACTATCTTTACTGACCTCCAGAGCACACCCGTGGTCACTGATGTCTCTGGCACCTGGTTCACAGACTTCCTTCCACCCCATGTCCCCTGGGACATCATTCTAGGTCCTTACTACTCATAGAGTGTGGTTTGTGGACAAGCAGCATTAGTACCATCAGAGAGCTTGCTAGAAATGCTCATCTTGAGCCCTATCCCAAACAACGTATTAGAATCTGTAGTTTAACCAACCACCCCCCCAACCCCCGCCTGGCTTCACATACACATTAAGGTTTGAGAAATGCTGTAGTATGTGACATCCATGTCTAAGGACATCACCTGCTAAGAACCCAGCCTCCCAATTCCTCAATTTCTCATCTCCAAGGAACTTTTCCACCCACCCATTTGCTTCTCGAGTGAAACACAAATTCAGGGATGGAGGCATGTGTAACCCTCATCTTTGCAGTATTCCTACTATTGCTCTTGAACTCTGCCAGACTTTCACTCCAGCAATTCCTCTACGTTCCCCCTCATATTAATCAGATTCCTTCTAGATATCTACTTTCTTATCTAACTTATATCCCAAAATGTATCACTTTTTAACAGTGTCCTAAATTCTCTCATTCTATTGTCCTCCCATGACCCCTGCCAAGCAAAAATCCCAAATTTGATGATGCAATCTATCTTCTTGTTGCAGACTCACATGTAGAATGATGAGCAGGCACTACTGGAGAAATATGACACAGCTCTACAGAGTGGTCACAGTCAACCACCTGTACCTGGATCTTAGCACTGCCTAGCAGTCTTATTACAACCTTTTCTCCCTCTACCACAAAAAAAAATCATTCAAACCTTCTCCACTGTCTTAACATCTCTGACTTTCCCAATGTCTCTCTCCTCTCAGCAGTACACATCACCTCCAACTTCACAGAGGAAAGCAAAAGCAGAAAGAAGGTGAACTTCCTTGACTTCCCACCATTAAACTTGTGCCCACCACACCCATTCGGCTTTTATGGAAGACGCATTCTTCATGTGGGCTCTGGACCATTCATTCCCTTTTGCCTTCTCAGTGATTTTGTGATTATACTTTGTCTCATCTTCATTTTCAGCTGTTCCCTCTATATTGGCTCCATCACACCAGCATTTAAATATATTCAACTCTGTCATCTTAAAGACCTACAGAACCATTCCAATCCTCTCAAATGATTTGTTTAAGAAGTATTTGAGACCACCAACCACTCAATTCTCTTTCCATTTAGCTTCCATAACACTAAATTATTCCCTATTTTCTCCTCTTTCTTGGATTCTTCCTTTCTTCTCAATCTCCTTTTCTGAACCTTATTTCTCCTCTTAACTTTGGTACTTTCAAAGTTCTGCTCTAGGCTTTCTCTTCTGTTTCCCTTGGTTACTCCAATGGGGCTTAAGGCTGCCTCCCATACCTATCTCTCTAGCCCAGTCCTCTTCTCATAAGTTCCAAACTCAATGACCCATCTTCTAACTTAGGAAATCCACTTGGCTATCTAACAGACACTTCTAAACTAAACTCATTCAACCTCTCTTCTTCCACTCCACCCCTGACACACTGAAATACCCAGGGTCTCTCAACTTCTCCCTTGCCCTGTCTCCATCATCCAGCCAGTCATCACCAAGTCCTTTGCTGATATATCCAAGTATTTCTCCAATACAGGTTCTTCTCACAACCACACTCCCAGGTAACCATTAGCTCTTCCCTGTGTTTCCTAACTGGTTTCTGTGCAACCGTGACAATTATTTAACAACATCAAATACCCAGTCACTGTGCACAATCTCCAATTACCTTATATAGTTTCTGTTTGTGGAAAGTTTGATTTTCTTTGATTCAGAGTCCAAATCAGACCTGGACATTGCAATTGACTTACATGTCTTTTAACTATCTTTTAATCTATAAAAATCCTTCTGTACCTCTTTTTTTCTATGCATTTTTTTTTCTGGAAAAATACACACACACACTAGATTCTTTGTCCTATAGAGTTTCCCACAATCTGGATTTTTCTAATTTTATCCCTGTTTTGTAATTTAACATGTTTCTCTGTCCCTTATATTTCTTAAAAATTGGTAGTTAGACAGAGAGGCTTGGTCAGATTGATGTTCAGTATTTTTTTTTTGGCCGGGGGGGAGGGCAGGACTACCTCAAAAGTAGTACTGTGTAATTCCATCAGGAGGTATCATACTTGCTTTCTCTCCAGTTAAGATGTCATTAGCCATGAATGATCACTACCTATAATTAATGAATCCATTAATTAAGGGTTCCCTACATCAATTCTCATTCTTCCCTAATAATATTCCACACAGTAAAGTCAGCCTGGTCTTTATAAAATGCTAATCAGATCAGATCACTACCTCTTTAAAACCTTTCAATGGATTCTCATTGTCCTTTGAATAAAGTCTAAAATCTTTATAATGGCTTCCAAGACCCTCTATGATCTAGACTCTGCATGTATATCTTTCAGTTCTCACTTTGCCTCATTCCCAACAACCCTTGCTATAACCAGCATTCTTTCAGTTCCCTTAATGCCCTGCTCTTTACTGTATGCCTCTGCATATATTCTTCTTAGACTACTACTGAGGCATAGGCAAATGCACAGCTTTAGTTTACTAATTCCCATTCATCCTTCAAGTAAACAGAACTTCCTCAGTAAAGTGCCTTGACCCCATGGACTAAGTTAAATCCTCTTGCCAAATACTTCCACAACACACTTGACTTCCCTTTTGTAACATTCATCACACTTCTAATGAAATGTTCAATGACTTTCTTTCCTCACTCATTATAAATAAAGGCAGAGATCACTATTGTCTTGTTCACTGCTATACCTCAATGCCTAGCCCTGTCTAAATTAGCATATCATTTAAGAATTAGTTGTTGAATTAAACTGAAATTGAAAACCATCTTTCTGTGGGTGTTGATAATGCCCCTTTAAAAACTGTTATTTTTAAATACTTAAGATTTGCAAATGATATTTCAAATCATGATAGCTATTAAGCATAATGAATATATGAAATGTTCAATAAATGTTCATTAAAAAGACATAAAAATGATTACATGCTAATTTAGAGTAAACAAATATCTTCTCTAGACACTCTTGGACCTTATCAATTTTTTCTATAATATATTACAAAAATCTTTCCCATGAAGAACCAAAGAGCAGCAAATAACATGTAAAGAAAAACTCTTACTTTTATGAAGAGGAAGGGGTTTAAGAAGATCTGGCTGTGCTTGAGTCACAGGTACAGGTGGTCCTTTTCCTCCAATATGATTGTTTACAACTGGATTCTGTTGTCTGCCTCTTAGTAGTGGAGACATACAGCGACGTCTCTTAGGGATGCCTTGCATATTTGGTTCTCCAGGTCGTTTATGTTTATTTTGAGGTCCAGCCACAAATTCATCTGCCTCATCTATCATCATACCCTATAACAAAAAAGAATATAATTTCCCTAGCTTTACATACAGTTTTTAATCGCACAACTAATTCCAATACCCAGTAAAATAACTGTATTTTAACTGTTGACATTTATTAGGTATTCTACCAAGAAAATAGCTTCAGCTTTCTTTAGTTAAATTAAGAACTGCTCCTCTCCACAGTGCCTAGTGCAAATAAATTATATAATGCAACATTTCAAATTTACCTTTTTATCCAGCTTAAAGGGGTTGCCAAATGTATGCAACCTTCGAGGCTGATCAGGATCAAGTTCTCTTAGTGGAGAAGGTACTTGCTTGAGGTATTCCTGGTAATTCCCCATTTGTGCTATAGGAACACTGTGCACTTGATCTTTTCAAACAGAATAGAGCAAAAACAAAAGTTAACCTCACTGAAACTACCTTCCAACTAGTTATCAAATAATGTCTTCTTATGTATGAATGCTCTCTGGTTTATTCTAGTCAATCTTTCCTTACCACATATTCTAAATTATTTTGTCACCATTATAAATATTGTGACATAAAATCTTGAGATTTTTTTAAAATAAAATTTTAAATACTTGATTTTATCTTCTAAACAAAGCAAAAATATTGCAGTTAATTTCAGTGTATAGAATAAGCATATGTGTAACCTTTCTATGAAAAGGAAATGTCTCTTCTACTCTATTCCAAATAAGCAGAATTTAATTAAAGCAGAATTTACGGAAAAGAGATATCACATAGATGACCCATTTTATATAAAACTATAGTTGAAATGCTTACGTGAGAGTTGGCAAAGGGTTAAGTTCTCATCTGACTTGGTTTGTAGTAGGTGCCATGGGTACAGTTGAAGGAAATACCAGAATATGATATATATCGGCCATCCAGAGTTAAACTAGTTAAACTACCAGATACTAGTAGATCACAAGAAAATGATTTTGTTTGAGCACGTGCCTGTATATGTGAATGTATGAAGAAAGCGAAAAAGGAAACTAAGCTGCTAACAAAGGTCGTTACCTCTGGGGAACAGAATTTGGGGCAACAGTGATGGTAGGAAGAAGTGTAGAGAATCAGGGATGACTCACTTTTTACTTCATTCAATGAGAATGTAATACTACTGTTATAATTCTTTAAAAGTTACAATATCACTCTATTTATTTCCAATATAAAGAAATAAGTTTACTGAAGAAATACCAACATTAAAACCATGATCTAACCTTCATCCTGTCCTTTAAGAAATCTGCGGGTGCTCTTCAAAAGATTAGATCTCATTCTTGTTAAGTGATCCAAAAGATTCCGTCTTGGTATGTCATATGCATTTCTAAATGTCTGTGGCTTCAAATCCTGTTAAAAAAGATTTAAAGACAAGATTTATTTTCAAACATAGAATTAAGAGACTGAAATCTCTAGCCTGCAGCATAGCTTTGAAAATAAGATACACAAGTTAACTAACTAGCTTAAAAAAATAAAGAGATATGATGCAATCTTACTGTACTGTTTTAATAACCAAAAGCTAAAAATTTGGTAGTGAGGCTCAACCAAATAATCTCAAACTCATATCTGTCCAAGATTTTATTACATATTCTGGCTACCAGAAGTAAATAAAAGCTTTGACGTATAATTTACATACCATAAAACTACCCATTTTACATAAACAGTTTAATGAGTGTTCATAAATGTATAGTTGTGAAACCACCACTACGATCCAGTTTTAGAATATCTCCATCATCCCAGAAAGTTCCTTGTGCCCATTTGTAGTCAATCTCTATTCCTATCCCCAAGCAACCACTAATCTACTTTCCTTCTCTCTACATTCCATTTTATAAACGGAATCTTGCAATATGCAATCTTTTCTATCTGGCTTCTTTCACTGAGCATGTTTTTGAGATTCAACCATGTTGTTCTTGTATTAGTGTCTATTCCTTTTTACTGTCTTTTCCTTTTTACATGGATATACCATAACTCTATCCATTCACCAGTTGATGAACACTTGGACTATTTTCAGTTTGGGGCTGTTACTAATGCTGCTATGTATACAAAGCCTTTATATACACATATTTTTATTTATCTCGGTAAATACCTACAAGCAGAACTGTTGGTATATAGCAATACTTACCTTTCCTAAGAAACTGCAAACTATTTTCCATCAATAATGTATAAGAGTTCCAGTTGTTCTACAACCTTACCAACACTTCATATTTTTCAGTCTTAAATTTTAGCCATTCTAGTGGGCATAAAGTGGGATCTCATCATGGTTTTAATTTGCATTTCCCCAGTGGCTAATAATGTTGAACATCTTTTTATGTGCCTGTTCAAGCTTGTATATGAGCTGTCTGTTCAAATATTTAGTCTACTTTTTTTATTGGATGTTTGTCTCTTTATTATTGAGTTCTATGAGTTCTTTATATATTTTGAAACAAGTTCTTTACTCAATACATACTTTTCTCCCAGGCTATAGCTTGCCTAGGAGAAACATCAAAGTTTCTTCTGAAGACAAAAATTTCAATTTTAATGAAGTTCTATTTATCAAGTTTGTGTGTGTGTGTGCTTTGTGTGTTGTATTTTAGAAATCTTCATTGACCCATAATCCAACATCTTAAAGATTTCTTCCTGTTCTGCTGTAGAAGTTTATAGTTTCAGTTCTTACATGTATGACTATGATCACTTCAAGTAATGTGAGGTAAGGGTCAAGTTCATTATTTTGCATATGGGTAGCCAATTGTTCCCACGCTATTTGTTGAAAAGACTGTCTCCTAACCCACTGAATTATTTTGGCACCTTTGTTAAAAATTAATTGACTCTATGTGTGAGGGCCTACTTCTGTTCTACTGATCTATATATTTTTCCTTATGCCAACAACACAACATGTTGATCGCTGTAGCTTTACAGTAACTTTTAAAATTAGACAGTGCAAATCTTCCAGCTTTATTCTTTTCCAAAATTGTTTTAGCTACTCTAGGACCTTTACACTTCCATATAAGGTTTAGAATCAGCTTGTCTGTTTCTACAAAAAAGACTACTGGGATGAAGATCTTTTTAATGAGTATTCACAAAGCACTTCAGGATCATGCTGTGTACCCAAGGTCAGCAGTATAAAAGTACCAAACTACAGTGAACTCTACCATTAGCTATGTAACTTTAGGCAATCTCTAAGCCTGTCTTCTCGTCTATAAAATGAACGGGATGGTTTGCTCTTTGCAGTCCATCCATTCATCCACTCACCATGTACAGTGTTTAACTCTAAAATCTAATCATTCAATAATAATATAATTGATCATTATTCTGCAGAGGTACAGAAGTTCAGACAAACTGAGTATCAGTTAACAGAAAATTTGCCATATTCAACAATATAACAGACTATAACTATATCAGTACTAAATTCACATAACCATTACCTTATTGAGCAAAGCAACTTGGAACCCAGTGTATTCTTTCATATTAAGGTCTAGCAGTCTGTGAGGAACATCCTCTGAAATTCCCTGGAGCAGCTGTTGAAAATCTTTCCTATAAGCCATTGATAAACCATGTGATCTGCTTCGGACTTTAATTCCAGTTTCCTGTACTACTTTTTTGCCTACAGAACCGATGACTCGATCAGATTCTATTTTCGCCTAAAGCAAAAAAAGAAACCAAAAGTTATCATGACATAATCTGAAGTGGTAAATTAAATGCTAACCGTTTTGGTCTTCCATAAATTAAGTATTTATTATATTTTAAAAGTACATAAGAAATTTAAAACTCTACTTAAGTAGAGAAATTTATGTCAAGTCCTTGGTAAACTGAACATAGTTTAAACAATAATGTCTTATGATTTTAAATCATCACAATTCTTACATTTTGCAGCAGGGTTCACAAACACAACTTCAATTTATTTTATTTATTAAATACCCACTACACCTAAACCATGAAATGTAAATGTAACCTAAATAAAAATATATATTTCCAATTCAGAGGTGAAATAAAATTAGAAAAAAAAAATCTCATCAATATTTACTTAAAGACATTATTACTAGCACATAACTAAATGTTCATAGATATGGCAAACACTGATGGAGTTTTTCACTGGAAAGCAAATAGCAATATTTTGACTCTTTCCAACCTACATTTCAATTAGCACTTGAAGTAGAGATGGCAGGAGTACTGGAAAAATTGTGTTTTATACAATTTTAATAACTTGGCAGTCAAAGTGTATACTGCTTGACTACTATAGTATCTATTAATGTGATGTACACCCAAAATGACAAAATTCAGTATTTTTACAAATATTTCAAAAGAAACTCCCATTTTGAAAGAAAAAGCTATAGGTTTAAAACATAAAGCAAAAGAAACTGACTTTTTTGTCTAAGAAAAACAACTTTCTAACATAAATTTCCCAAAAGAAAACAAAGAATGTTCACATACAGGAAGGCTAGGACCACATTAATAAAGCCATTTCCACAAACTAGGAATTATTGCTTGAAATTATCATTTCAAAACATAGCATACCATTTACTTGAGATAGAATTATGTTAATATATGATATACGTGGTTTTAAAATGTAATACATTAATACGATGGAATTCTATTAGAATCATCAAGAACTAACATCTGGCCTATTGACCACCTTAGCCAAAACCATTCAAAATACTTAATGGCTCTATTTCTTAACATTACCTGCTGACTCAATTTTTTGAGGTATGAAATGACACTGTAACTAAGTCCATATTCCATACTGTCTGCTATTAGGTTAGGTGCTCCCATCATTCTAACAGCTTTCTTCAAAGGCTATAGGGAAAAAGAAAATACCACTCAATCCTGAGCTTGGCAAAAACTTATAGGTATTATGTATTGTCAATTTTGAAAATTTCACCTCCCAAAATGTCTCCTTTTCTTCAGTAAGAGTCACATAATCATATTTGTACTTCATTAAAATGTTTGTCAGTGGTATGAAAGGCAGTTTGAAATACTAAACAAGGATTAGAGGCTATAATAACAACACCCAGAGCAAGAAAGGGTGAAGTCCTGGACTTCTTAGCACCATTGGAGACACTAGGTTTGGAAGAAGAGGGCAGGAGACACACTGCAGAGGTTGATTTGATAGAACTTGGGTGGTAAGTAGAAAGAGGAGTCAAGGAAAATAGAAGATTTCTACCTTGGGTAACTGGAAGGGTTGTGGCTCAACCCCTCACTAGCTTTGTGACCCTGTACCAGGTAATATAACCCCTCTGTGCCTTAAGTTTCTCATTTGTAAAATGATAATAGTAGTATCTACCTCATAGGGTTGTCATGGGATTAAATGAATTAATACATGTAAATACATCTGGCACACAGTAAGCATTCAGTAGGTATTAATCATTACTACTATTATCATTCGCTGAGCTGAAAAAACAGAAAACAAGCTCTGAAGGAAAAACGAGGAGGCAAAAATCATCTAATATTTACTATGGATGTGATATAGTGATTTTCAATTGTAAGGACTAATTGAGAGCCACTTTGTGCAAGGAAAAATGTCACTAGCAGGACTGTCTAGCCCATGTGAATGGGACAGAGTCAGAAAAAGGATGATAACCACCCAATGACATATTACAAAGAGTATAAAAGCACTGGTGTCAAAGTGGAATCAAATCCCAGGTCTGATATTTAATATTCATGTGGCTTTGGCTAAATCCTCCCAGTGGCTATGAAACATAGGAGTCAAACATATGCAAGTTCATGTTCAAGTGTTTCTTCCTTTTCCCTCTCTTACATAGCAGGCACTATGTGCTAGACACACACAACTTTTCTCTTACAACTATAACATATGATTTTCAAAGCTCAAGAAATTAGTGTTCTTATTAGGGACCATTTAGAAAGATTAGTTACAGTCACATACTGTAACATTCCTGCAGTAAAAGCAGAAGTAATGTTTTAAAGTGCTTTTAGTGTAGGTCTTTTTGTTAAGAAGCTACTTCTCACAAAATAAATAAAGTAATATATTTAATATTATATGCATTATTGGTCCTATCTATTATGATACACTAGGTTTTAAGCAATATTTCTGGAGATTTAGGGGATAATGCAACACAAACCTTTTTTTGTACCCTTAAAGGGAAATAATTATAAAACTGCAATTTAAAAAGGTAGTATAACAATTGAGGTTAAAAGCTTAAATTCTAAAGCCAGGCCTGCCTGGGATTGAATTCCTGACCCCCAAGTATTAGCTATGTAGCCTTGGATGAATTATTTAATCTTTTAGTGCCTCAGTTTCCTCATCTGTGATATAAGAACAGTGATTTCTGCCTCGTAGGGTTACCATATAAATTAAATGAGGTTAATACATGTAAAGTGCTTAGGATAGAACCAGGCCTGGGTAAGCATTATATATATATATTCTCATTATCATCATCATCATCATTATTCTGCAAATCACTGAAACATTTCTTTCCCATTACATTTATATGGGTCATTTGTATACTCAATTTTCATGACATTTATTCTATAACAGCAATAAATAAAAGTTTTAATACCTACAGTAAACTATAAGCATAATATAAAATTTTATAACAAGTTCTATTTTTAACAATAATATTCTTACCCCAAGATAGTAGGGAGGCATTGTCTTCAAGTAACTTTCAAATGACTGTCTCCATTTCAATGTTGGTTTTGCCTTATGTACTTTAAACAAGTCATCTATAAATTTATAATGTGAACAAACTATCATCATTTATTGTTTTCACACATGAAAATCAAGTCAAATAAGTTTCATTTTTAAAGTCTGCTTTCTTATTTATATAAGAGAGAGAGGAACATCTGACCTATATTTTTAACAAAATTAAAGGTGGTAAAATTTTTGGTTCTGGCATTTTTGAGTAGTAGTACCACTTTAAAAATAAAAACGTGCCAATTATGGTCTAAAATTAAATGTAATAATAAAGGTAGAATCAGAATATACACAAGGAAAATCTAGATATGAAACAGATTTGAAGACAGAAACAAAGTATGCATGATGTTTTCTATAAAATATACCTACTAATATTTTGTCTGTAATCTTTAAATCTGATGCAGTTCCATGAAGGGAAAGATGTCTTCTCCAACAGTACCCCTCAAAAAACTATAGCCAAATGGTCCCCAGAAACCAACTTTAGGCTTATCATATTATTTTAGAACAAATTCATCATTTAAAAATATTTGCCAAATGAAAATTAAAAGTATAGATAAATCCTTAGAAAATACTCAGATCTTATAAATATGATATGCTTCTACAAAATGTCTACTTATTTACCGAATACAAAGCCTGCATTACTAATTCTAACTATGTAAGAAATCTAATTGCAAAAAACTTAAGAGAATACTTAATTTAGAAACTTAAAATATAATATCTTCAATAGTTTGCAGAATCAAAGGTAGTTTGACACTGACTTTCAATTTACCAGAAACATGCACAGGTTGCTATAACACAACCTTATACAGCTTCAGTATTTTAGAGTATTAAAAAAAATATATTCATTAATTTCCAGAAGACAAGAAAACTTAAAAAGGGAGGGATGTTCCCAAAGTTTGTTTTTAGGAAAAATTTGTATGTATGCTAAGCCACAGAGAATGTGATGAGAATAACTTACCTAAAAGGGGAAGGAGGACTGGGTAATTGTAAGGCATCACAAATAAGTTGACACAGTTCAGTGCTGTACTCGCTTTCAAGTAACCAAAGGGATGGCCAAGTTCGCTATATTTTGCACTATTGCTTACATATACCTGTTAAAAAGGAGTAGTTAAAACTTCACATTTAATAACCTTTACAGAACGTTATATAAACCACGGATTCAATTTAACTTTTTAAGAAACATCAAATTAAATTTTTAGAGATTCTCATACCGAGTGAAGTAAGTCAGACAGAAAGACAAATATATGATATTGCTTATATGTAGAATCTAAAAAAAGGCTACAAATGAACTTATCTACAAAACAGAAATAGAGTTACAGGTGTAAAAAATAAAACTTATGGTGTGGGGAGTGGGGAGGGATAAATTGGGAGACTGGGATTGACACATACACACTGCTATATATAAAACAGATAACTAAAAAGGACCTGCTGTATAGCACAGGGAACTCTACTCAGTACTCTGTAATGGCGTATATGGGAAAAGAATCTAAAAAAGAGTGGATAGGGCTTCCCTGGTGGCGCAGTGTTTGGGAGTCCACCTGCCAATGCAGGGGACACGGATTCGAGCCCTGGTCGGGGAAGATCCCACATGCTGCGGAGCAACTGAGCCCATGCGCCACAGCTACTGAGCATGTGCTCTGGAGCCCGCGAGCCACAACTACTGAGCCCGTGTGCCACAACTACTGAAGCCCACACGCCTAGAGCCCGTGCTCCACAGCAAGAGAAGCCACCGCAATGAGAAGCCCATGCACAGCAACGAAGAGTAGCCCCTACTAACTGCAACTAGAGAAAACCTGTGCGCAGCAACAAAGAAGAAGAAAAGAGTGGATATATGTATATGTAAAACTGATTCACTTTGCTGTACACCTGAAACTAACACAACACTGTAAATCAATTATACTCTCAATAAAAATTAAATAAATAAATAAAATTTTAAATTGCTATAGTCGTTCAGCTCACCTGCCAACAGGTTTGAGGAGATTTTCTTTCCAGGATAAACTGAGTCAGCGGTGAAGGTTCCAACTCATATTTGTCAAAAGGCAATTTGTCAATAACCATCGGTTCACAGTCTGTACAGGAAAACTTCACTACAGGATGAGATGTACGAGGTGGCTAGAGGGGAAAGTCTTATTATTACTCTTTCACAAAGCACCAGAAACAAACTCCTTTTTAGTATCCCTCACTACCAAAGTTTACTCAGTTTCTCAGTTTTGCTAGTGAGAATTTAATTTACTACCAAAAGCACCACTAAGCTGAAAGAAAATACTTAAAAATGTAATGCTTAAATTATATAATATTCACAAGAAAAAAACACACTTCAAAATCTATACAGAATTAAAATTTTTGTTAAGTCTTAAAATCAAATTTATCAGAAAAATTAAATGCAAAATTTTGGAATTAAATAAGTGCTCATTAATTTTTATATATAAGAAACAACTAATTTAATAGAAACCTTCCTAAGTCCTCAGTTGTAGCAATTTAACTATTTGGCTTCCAAATTGATGACACACATTGATCAGTACAAATTTTTGAATATACAATATATTAGGGCATATATATATTTATACTTGTAAATTATTAATTTACAGGTACATAATAAAATATATATCAAAATAATATTAAAAATAGAAAAGAGTAAACATACATAGAAGTTCTAACGCTTCCCTTCCCTATTCCAGCAGACTGAATTGGTTACCCCTGTGTTAAATACATCCTACCTTGGAGGCCCTGCTGTGGAGCTGCAAAAACCACAATACTTCAAAGGAAAAAAAAAAGCAAGTTACTCTATTTCCCCCTTAACAGTCTCCTTCCTAAAAATCTCATCAAGTGAAGACTGGTGAAGAAAATATGAGCTATGAAGAAATAATGTGGAATTTCATAGCTATAAAGGACTCCTTTTGGCCTTAGTTACTATCTACATATACCGGTGGCTCCCAAATCTACTGTATAAGGGACCAGATTTCTCTCATTTCTCTTATGTATCCAACTACCTACTGTACATAACCTGAATTTTCTATAGGTCCCTCAAATTCATTATTATTCATTATTTCACCCCCAAACCACAAAACCTGTTCTAAAAAACCTAGATGTTAGCCTTAATATCTCCCTCTTATCCTCCATACTTAACTGTCACAAAGAATTAGATTAAATGATACCACAAATTCTAAGCCACTTAGCAGAACACATAAACATGGCAGATGCTCACTATTTTAGTTACTGCCCTCTGTCAATGCTAAATTCTCATCTCTCTAAAAATTTACCTTCTATTTCTTACCACTCTAATTCATGCCTTCATCATTTCTCAGACTAGATTAGTACAACTGTTCATTTTTAATTAGTCTCCCTAATTAGTCAGCCCCCTCCAATCAATCCCATGGCCATGAAAGATAAATATAATCGTGTAATTTTCCTAACTCAAATTATTGGGTAAAAATAGCAGCCAACCACCTAAAAATAGGGCCAGATTCTTTTCTTTTAATATTGTTTTACAAAGAGCCTTGACAATACGGTCCCCATCTGCCTTTTAACCACCACACCATGTACACCCTGTGCTCCAGCCATACCAAAACGACTTGCAGTTGCCCAAACAGATCATTATCTTTCATGCCCCGGTGTTTCATATGTTATCACAAGCTGCTTTACTATTTTCCCCCTTGCATAATGCAAACAAACTCAGTTTTGAAGACTGAACTAGCAAAAGGCAAGTACCAACCTCTAAGAAACTTCTTCCCTGACACAGTCTCACCATGTACCCCAAACACATACCAGGCAGTTAGGCACCACCTCCTCTGGGCTCTGCTCTGCCCCCCATGACAGTTAGCACACTGTACTCTATTATGTTTACATGACTGACCTTCCTATGGAATGGTAAGGTTCCAGAGGGGAAGTACTGTTTTGCTCCTGTGCCTAGCATGTACCTGACGTACAGCGTATTGAATGGGTCTGTGAAACTCATCTATTTTTCTGGATGACAATATTGAGATCCCAAAAGAAAAGGGGGGGCATTTATTATTTCATTTAATCCCCAAAATAATCCTATGAGATAGGAGTTACTATCTCTAACAGATGGGAAATTGAGCTTAGAGAATATAATTAACCAAAGATACATGGCTAATAACTGGTAGAGCCATGATTCAAATTCAGAACCAGTCTCTAATAAATCACATTTAATTTCAGTATCAGTACTTCTTATATGAAATACTATTATTTATAAAAAGTTCATTTCCCCTCAAATATCCTTCAGTTACTAAATTTTGCCAGTTCTTTCTAGTATTCTCTCTCTTTTTGTTTTATCATTCTCTCTTCCATCATCTTAATTCAAACTCTTATATTAAGTGAACCAAAGCAATAGCCCTCTAGGTAAATAGCTTACCTTCTAGTTCATGTAACAACCACCAGATTAATTTTCCTAAAGGAACACTCTGTTAAAAATGTCTTCAGTTCTATGAACCCTATTAAGAAAAGCTCAAATTCCTTAACCTTGCATGTAAAGTCATAAGCAATTTGGTTTATTTAATAGTACTCTCAATGTCCTACATACATATTATGACCCACCTATCCTCACAGTTACTTTCCATTCCTCTAAATTCACCTTGTTCTTTTTAACTTCCATACTTTTTTCTCACGCAGTTTCCTCCTCCAACTGAAATCCTACCGACACTTCAAAATCCTCTATGGCTTGTAACAGTTTGTAATAGACCACTAGAGCAATATTAATAGATAATGCTTGTGATACTGGTTTTGGATTTCTTCCGATTAGGACTTAACAAGTACCATATGTACTTGTTATTTAACTACTATAGGTGTTAAATAAATATAATAGAATGAATAACCAACAATATAATATTTCATATAAATATGATATCTGTTCCATAAGAATTTTGAAAGGGCTCCAGAGGAGAAAGTAATATGACCAAAGAAATTGAGAGCTTCTCTAAAGCCAGACTAAAAAACTATGATGGTTCAATCCAAAAAAGAAAGAAGATACCTCACTGAAATGTATAAAAACTTAATTTCATGTACTACATTAAATCCCTAATGAATAAAGGAAATATCACCTTATAGACCTTGTATAGAATAAAAGTAAAAATTATCCTAAAGAGTTGATATTGGTTTAAAGCATAAAAGGTTTCAAAAAGAGTTCAATTTAATTCATAAATGATAGCTGCATGAAACATTATTAAAGACTGCTTAATGATCTTTGAAATACAACTCTTATCTTCTAAAGGTAACATCAAAAGAACCACTGTCATATCCCATGGTGTCCTCAATTACTACAAAAAACACTAATCTGAAAAAAGGGTATTAACAAGATTTAAGATATTTGTATAAATTTACCCTATTATTATAAGAACCATACAGTGAACACTGATAATTCACCAGGATCATTCAACAAGCCTCACTGTTTCTAAAAATAATTCCTATAAACAAGACCAGAAAATCTTGCTACCTTAAACCTCCAGACTGAAAACACTGAATATAACTAAAACTATGCAAGTCAACATGAATTTCTAAGACTAAGTCCTAAAAGATTGCAGGCAAACCATCAGAATTATTTTCTAAGCCTTCATTTAAACTGTATATTAGGTCCCAGAGACAAATCCTCATGTTACATTATATTTAGAATCCAAAGAGAAGCTCTTGTTATATCTATGCTTCTGTAACCAGATGCCAATAATAAAAGCCTAAGCATAATGTTAGATTCTAAAGGAGACAGATGCCTCTTCTCTATTACTTCCTGATGAACAATACAGTACACTTAAGCAAGTAACAGCTCATCAGTGCACTTTGAGCGCTTGTCTAATTCCTATACAACAGCCACACCTTTAACTGACGGGAGCACTTAAAACTAGTAGGAAAAGCAGTTAACGGTTACTATTACAAAGTCACAGTCTCTCTGGTACTTACTAGTGTTGGAGAATTCTGATCTGGCCAAAAAGACTCTGGAACAGGCCAGTGACCTATAGGAACCCCAGTTTTAGGATTTGGTCTGACATATATGAGTTTGTGACAGCTATGCCAAGGCTGAGATCCCAAAGGTCTTGATACATCTGGCTGCCCATCTACGGCAAAGAAATCAAAGCAAAGTATGTATCATTAAAGGAAAAACATAAGCAGTTAAATTATATCTACTATTACTTAGTAAAAATGTCTTAATACTTGTTCAATTCTGGATTTTCCTATTTTTCTTAAATGGTAGAATACTATCATGACTAAGGCTTAACATTTAGATTATATCAGAATTCACTAGAGCGTAACATCAGCAAATTCCAACGATGAGTTCAATAGGTGAAAGGAGGTCCCACAGCATCTTTTGCTTGTCCAATCAGATTATGTAAAACATACTTCATAGTAGATACTTGTTTAACGAATGACATATTTTCCCCACTAGATGATAAGGGCAAACACTCAATTTCTTCACCATCATGCTTGGCTTAGTAAATACTAGGTAAGTATTGCTAAATGAATATTTCTTTAAAAATCAATCTTTTTAACGAAAGCCTAATAACTAAAACGAAAAGTTAATATGCAAATCCAGATTTGAGGTGTCTACCTTTAATCTAAAACAATTCTAGAAAACGGTAACTCTCTTTAACAGTTCAGTAAACATTTACTTAGTGCCTAACTCTAAGCAATGTCCTAAAATAATTTAAAAATAAATATATTCCATGTGTAACAATTCAATTTTTTGTTTGTTTGTTTTTTTAAACCAGACACAGTATGCGATTTATATAATCTTACCATCTTCTGCTCCTTCCCTATAATCCCTTCTGAGGGTACCACTTTCTCATCTCTATGACCTTTCTCTTCTCCCAATTACCCACTCTAGTGGATCACCTCTGCCAGGGCCATTAATGACTTTCTAATTCTTGTCATAAGCTACTTCATACAAGGCAGAAGGTCCAGATGTAAACTGTCCATTGGTTCTGGTAAAACTCCTTATACCCTCTGGCTAATATAAATAGTTCATGATCACAAAATATTAGAATAAAGCCAGGTGGGGCTCAGCTAGACTTTAAAGGATCAAGCTGAATGGCAAAGGCTGGTTTCTCATTTTGGGAACCACACCAACCATTTGGTTCTGATCGGTTTGATCTTTAGAAAAAATGTAGCTAAGGAATTAAATAAACACTTAGGGTTGAACACTCTTGTGAATTAAGGGACAAGGAAGAAGCATATATACTGGAGAGAGTCAGCATTACAATACTAAAAAGGAAATATGCTAATCTGTAAATGTTTAAAAAGCGTTTTGGCGCTTATAAATTTTCAGGCTATGAACAACCAATATATAAAAACGCGATGCTACCAAACCACTGTCATATTACCTTGACTTTCCCATTTAATCTTCCCTCTTTACCAACAGCTCTTTTGTCATTTTAATAATCTGGACTTAACATTGACAAGGCCAAATCATAGTAATTTTTCAGTTCAAATTGAATACTTGATAAAGCCAGTTTACAATGTCTATAAGAGAAGTACAATAATACCTTCTACAGGGGAAGGATCTGGTCCTGCTTTCTCAAAGTTTATTACCACTCCACTTTGTACTTTCTGCACCAAGGACTCCAGACACTGATTAAGCATTCTTGGAGAACATACAGAGTATGAACGGCCTGAAATAAAAAGAATAAAGTTGCAAAAATTCCTACTTTTAACAAAAAAGAACCATAGTAGGGTTTTTGACAATACTGATTAACGAAAGTTCAATGATAAAGTCTGACCTGTTCATTATCTAATAGAAGAATAACAAAACAAAAATAGCTATTCTCAATCAATCAACAATTCCATTTTGTGAGAGTATGTAAATTTTTCTTTGTAATTAAAGGTATGTGGAAAATAGAAATCTTTGTGTGAACAAACCACAATGAAAAAAATCATTATATATATACACAATGTATTACATGAAATGAGATTTTAAAATATATATAAATTTAAAAAAACTATATCCAACTGTTTTCCAACACAATTATCTTTATTACACATATACAACATCTGGTAACTAACCCCCAAAATCTTACTCCTGCTTAACAAAAGTATTATCACTAAAGACTAATGCTAAGGACATAGATGATACTCAATAATTATTTAATTGATCTGCTGGTGGGTACTGCATATTTTAAGTGTTTGCACTTTAATATATAGATAGTATGTGCTTCATGTGCTTCTCTGAATCTCATTTGGCTTACATACTTAGAAATTACTATCTTAAGTGAATTTCCCTCTTGAATATTTTAACCTATAAAATTTTTAGTTCAGAAGCATTAAAATGCTAGTGATTAAGAAAAAATACCAGTGAAGACTTCTTAAACAGGGATTTTTCAATAAATATATCTAGACCTGTGCTGTTCCATATTGCAGCCACTGGCCACATATGGCTACTGAAAACTTGAAACACGGCTAGTCCAAATTGAGATGTACAGTAACTATAACACACACACCTGACTTTGTAGATATAAAGATAATGTAAAATACTTGAATAATTTTTTTTTTTTTTTTTTGCTGTATGCGGGCCTCTCACTGCTGTGGCCTCTCCCATTGCAGAGCACAGACTCCGGACGCGCAGGCTCAGCGGCCACGGCTCACGGGCCCAGCCGCTCCGCGGCATGTGGGATCTTCCCAGACAGGGGCACAAACCCGTGTCCCTTGCATCGGCAGGCGGACTCCCAACCACTGCGCCACCAGGGAAGCCCAATACTTGAATAATTTTTAATTACCAATATCACGTTGAAATATTTTGTATATATTGATTTAAATAAATATTATATAAATTAATTTTACCTGTTTCTTTTTAGTTTTTTGGTGGTTTTTTTTTTGGCTGCGCCACTCGGCTTGTGGGATCTTAGTTCCCCAACCAGGGACTGAACCAAGTCCCTCGGCAGTGAAAGTGCAGAGTCCTAACCACTGGATCACCAGGGAATTCCCTATCAGTTTCTTTTTAATGTGACACTATAAAATTTATAATTATATATATAACTTATATTTCTATTATCTGTACTGATCTAGACCAGTGCTGAAAACCATGACAACTAAAAATCTTTAATCAAACATCTTACAATGTTATTTGCAATAAGCTCAATACAGAGAAGTCCTATCCCTTAAGAAATTCAACAGACAAGGGCACAAACCCGTGTCCCTTGCATCGGCAGGCGGACTCCCAACCACTGCGCCACCAGGGAAGCCCAATACTTGAATAATTTTTAATTACCAATATCACGTTGAAATATTTTGTATATATTGATTTAAATAAATATTATATAAATTAATTTTACCTGTTTCTTTTTAGTTTTTTGGTGGTTTTTTTTTTGGCTGCGCCACTCGGCTTGTGGGATCTTAGTTCCCCAACCAGGGACTGAACCAAGTCCCTCGGCAGTGAAAGTGCAGAGTCCTAACCACTGGATCACCAGGGAATTCCCTATCAGTTTCTTTTTAATGTGACACTATAAAATTTATAATTATATATATAACTTATATTTCTATTATCTGTACTGATCTAGACCAGTGCTGAAAACCATGACAACTAAAAATCTTTAATCAAACATCTTACAATGTTATTTGCAATAAGCTCAATACAGAGAAGTCCTATCCCTTAAGAAATTCAACCAATTATTACCAAACACGTTATATTATTATATTTGACATATCAAATTACTCATATCAATTTACATTCAACATGTGATTTGTTAAAGGCTACTCAGAAAAGAGAACATTAGGCAGTAGAGTGATTCAAATCCTCAGAGTCAGCTTAGAATAACAAGCATCATATAACAAATGGCTTACCCTGAATACAACAATAAGAGCCATACTTATAAAAATACTCACCAATTACTGAGTGTCTATGTACCTGGCACTATTCTAATCACTCTATTAATTTATCCAATCCTAGGAACAATTTTATTGGTTACTTTCTCCATTTTACAAATGAGAAAACTAAAGCATGGAGAGATTAACTAATTTATTCAAGTTAGTATAGTAGTGCAGCCAAGATTCAAACCCTTACAAGGTATTAGACACTTTCATCTGGATATACCTTCTTCCCTGAAAACCATGATGTTAATTTAAAATAGAAAGCCTATATGGAACCACACTTATTTGAAAGAATTGGCAAATTAAAAATTTTTTTAGTCAATTTAAATATATACATAAAACAATACATAAAAAGGCTGACCGTCTTAACACAGTAAGTATTTAGAAGATTATATAAAGGTTCAATATCTTATTTCATGATATTTAAGCATATTCCAAAGATGTTAACAAAAAACAGAAGTTCTTAAGTATAAAACTGTGGCAATCCTCTCTACTTTCCTAACCTGTGTCATCAACTAATTGATTAGGAAAATATAAGAGGTTATGATCTTAGTATGAAATAAAATGACTAACAAAGACATTTTATGAAAATTGGAGAAAAAAATAAACTTGAGTCACATAGAAAATAACAAAAATTCATTAATTCTTTTGAAAGTTAAAGGAAATTTTGCCATCTTTACAAAGTGAACCTATAACCTATGTCATGTTTCTCTTATTCTTTATGTCAAAACTCACCTCTTGGAATGTTTAACACCTTGTATTGAAGGATAAAGTTTCTGGGCTCACTAATAATATTTGTGAGAAAAGCACATACTTTCAAGTCAAGAAGCTGGCTCACTTGTGGTTAGAGGATCCCCCCCCCCC